GTACAAAACGAGCTGATCTTCATACACCTTGCAACCGGCAATACCAGCAGACGCCAAATAGAAGTGTAAAGACCAGTGTCACTTCACGTAGGCGTCGCATCTTCATCGACTCTTAACGGTAAACAAGGGCCCACATCAACACACAACCCAACTTGCCCCGTTTCTGGCGCCATCGCCTGCAGTGATCAATGCGTTTTACGCACTTCAAAACGGAGCTCAAGCATGAGTTCAGAAGCTTCAGGTTTAGAGCTTCGGGCTTGGGGCTCCGAGCGTACTATTTTGGGACTGTATCAACTTGGCAAGCCGGGCGAGGCATCCGAGCAACAAAGGCCAAGCAACTAGACCCGAGTGCTAGGGCTTAGGTTCTTGTGTCAACACTGTTTTGGAGAGGCTTCTGAATACTCCACACAATGCTGGGCCGATCAAGGCCAGAAGGCATCAGCACCGCTCGCCATTTTGGGGAGGGAGGCGGCCCGAGGTTTGGGTCTAAGCTCCCGGGTTCGGAGGACTCTTGCAGACGCACCTCAACAACATTGCAGCGAGACCTGGCATTCTAGATCCTGTACACATCCCTGACGGTAGCATACCAGTCCTAAAATTCTCTGAAAAAGGATCGGCTGCTGGTCTCTGCAACAAGTGCCTGACGTCTCCCAGCTCCACAAAGCCGCCTCGGCTCCGTTCAAATTTTGTCTCGAAGGTACGATCGTCAGGACTTTTTGCCTAGCTTCCTACTTGGACTCCAATTCCAAACATCTCAACCTAGAAAATCCAACTATCTCTTTTTCGTGCAGCTCCTCTCTGGATCGGACCATGCACCCTCACGGCAGGAGCCCCCAAAACTTCGACCTTCTCTGTTGCGACAAAGCGCGAATCAGCGCGACAACAATCCTAACAACAACCGGACGAAAATTTGGATAGGGCGAGGAAGAAGAATATCAAATTCTAAGGTTCGGTCTTCATGCTTATAGGACAGCTCTCCCTTGATGCGTGATACCAAACTGGCCTTGAATGTGTAGTGTCTTGGTTTCGTCTTGCATCATCGGTGCGGGCTGCTCTACTCATTTTGCTCGGGCTTCTATATTGGTCTCGTCGTGGAGGTCAATGGCTCGAGCCGCAAGAATGCACGAGGTTTGATATCAGCCAAAAGATGCTTAAGACCGTATCTTGACTGTCTGTTGCGAAGGAGAGTATCCTTGTAGACTGTTCTCATGGTGGTGAGACATCAACAGAAGAAAGACGGTGGAACAATCTGCAATGAGGACACTAGAGTCATACTTAGCAGACACATAGGCGGATACGAAGATCTCGACAGTGCGAGTGCCAAAAGTTTGTGTTTTGTGGCATTGAACACATCCTTTGCTTGCCAGGAGACGCGTGTAGAGCGCGGCCCAGAGCTGCTCAATTCGCTCCACGAGTGTGGGAGCATCGCCTGCGGTTTTTGAAGGGCATCCTATCTTTCTTATCTTTCGTCCCTGGGTGAAATGACACACAAGGCCAGACTTTCGCCAGGCTTCGGGTTCTCAGCTCTCACGAGAGACGAATCTTGCCACAGAGCTTTATACAGGTGCGAAAAACCTTCCAGCTAGTTTGGCTTTCCTGCAGGAGAGGGCCACTCGATGGCTCGGGCGGGGATCATGCGACTCGGCAGCCGGCAAAGCCAAGGTGCAAACTCGTGGAGCTCAGTCTTACAAGGAAGAGAAAGGACCTTTTAGACTTAGCTCCAACCGTGGCCAAAGAGGATTGCCAGAGACCTGCAGAGAGCCGAAGGGGGACTCTTCCTTTCCGAAAGGGTACGGCTTCAGAGTGGGTTCTAAAACACGAAGACAGCCACGAAAGCACCTGCAAACAGAGAGCCCGTTGTAGCACCCTTCCAGTAGCGCTCCCAGCAACCTTACGGAGATTGAGGCCCTTCTTTGGTAAGGGGCGACACATCTGGGCCGCAACCAAGGCGCTCGACCACCTCGCGAGGAAGGAAACAAGAGCTGTGCTCTTCAGCCTCGGGGCTCGTCTTAGCGTCTTGGGGCTTGGATGGTTCAGGGTTTGCTGATTTTAGGCTTGAGGGTTTTGTAGGACATTTGAAAGCTTTTGTGGAGAGTTGTAGCATAGAGCTGTGTTTTCAAGGTTTCGGAACGTTTGGGCGATCATGGACAAATCGTGCAAAACCGGAGGGTCTAGGCTTTCAGGTAGACATGTCGCTGGGGCCGTGTCACCAAAGGCCGGGCCTGCAGCAACTGCGGCTTCTTTCAGGGCTACTATAAGGGTGTTAGGGGCCTTAATAGCCTTAATAATTAAAATAAGGCTTGGGGCTCCTTTTATAGTATTCTCATAGTAAGCAACCCTGACAACCCTTCCTGCAGACACCCTCCGCAACCCGCAGCAGCAGCGTGTGAAACGAATGGTCAGAAACGGCGCATGCACACTCCTTGCTTTTTGATCTGACTTGTCTGTAACGCAACCCAGGTAATTTTCAGCTGAGCCCCTGTCTGAAGGTCACCCTCACTTTGGAAGTCCTGAGTTGGGGAATTCAGATCTGGTACTTGTTGCTGCTGTTGCTAATGCTGCGACAGGAAGCCTGGCATCGATCTATCCAACAGACGTCTCTACTTCAAGGCCAACAACAATAACCAGTTCCGACTTAATCCAAGAGGAGACATGGGCAACGGTCTACAACAGAATCGATGCCCCCCCTGACACAAATAGCTCTGCAGTCTTCAACCGTTACTCCAACTCCAGAGACTCCCTTGCGAAGCTTACAAGGTCCCTGTGTTTCGGTGCGTCCTTCAGGTAGTCGTGGGCGACTCGGTCATGTACAACATGAGACGGCATGAACGTCACAACCTGGCCCACCTCACGTCAGAAGTCTGGTAAGGCAAAAATCACAATGCATGCAGCGTTGAGGTCTGAGGTTTGACTCGCATTAGGCAAGCAGCAACATTTCCACACGAATCCAACTTGCATGCGCCAAACGGTGCTGAGGAGCCCTGCATCGCTCATACCGGAGGTGTGTAAGCAACAAACAAAGACCGACATCGCCAAGACTGTACAGAGTGCGCTGAAGCGGCTCAGATGCGAGCTTGGAGAGAAAGCGAGAGAATGAGAAAAACTAAAACATCCAGGCCTGCACATCCACAATACTTACCCTCTGCCTCGAAGAACTGCATCAAGCAGACATGTACCCCCGCCGGCATATTTTCTGCCCCGGCACATCCCACAGCAACTTCTGTGTCAGGTAGGCACGCCAGATATCCGAAACGCGGCCGTGCACGGTCACGGGGAGCAGCAGACCCCAGAAAGCTTCCTCGGATCAAGTGCATTTAAAGCCTTAAAGCCATTCATTGAAAGCCTTAAGACTTCCCGCGGTGGCTTCTTCCAAACAGATGTGTCAGGCTGGCACCCAGCTTGAAGCAACTGCCACAAAACTACGAGACCATGTCACCATTACCTGGTCGTGCCACCCAGGCCACGTAAAGATGCACAGTACACTGAGCATTGTATGGCGTGAAGAACCTGGGCGAAAACGCTCACATGCCACCAAATCTCTTCCTCGAGGGCACTAGCATCATGCTACTCAGTTCTGAGGCCGGTCACCACCTGCACATGCTAACTCAGTCTAACTCCAAACTGCGGTGTGAAACCGAGGAGCTGCGGTGGCACAGCGACGACTTGTGGCCGACCCTCTCCTGACCCCCCCGCCCGGCGACTAAAGCGGGGCTGGCACGGGATTCCCCAAAAACTCCCTTACTTTGCCACAGATACGCACACCAGCAAAGACACGCCTGAGGGCTGAATCGCCTGTCCTGGCCCTCGGAAGGAGCAAGGCAGCGGACGCGTCAGCCGGAAGATGGCATCCACGTCCTGATCTGGAAAGCTACGACGCCGACGAAGGATAGCATAGGTGAGGCTATGGGCCTTGTGGGCCTGGGGCGTTGGGGCTGGCTGTTCGTACCACTGGCTGCTCGGCCAGTCATAGGTCACTGTCGTGCGGAACCACTCAGCTTCGCAGGTCGGAAAGCCTGCCTTTGCAGGCTGATCCGACCTGATTAGAGAATCTTGGGCCTTTCGCTAGGGCTAGGGTGAGTTGGGAGACCTCTCTCTTCTTCCTTCGGGCTTGAGGGGCTGTCCAACCCCTCGACCACCAGGGCCCCCCCTGTGTTATGCGTGTTGAGGGTGGGAAAAAACCATCGGGATCCGGTACTTTTGCTTTTCATTGCTTCAGAGGTCTCTCTCTCTCTCTCTGTCTCTCTGTCTCTCTCGTTTCTCTAAAACAATCGCAAGCACCTCGATCTGAGATGGCTATCCCGTGGCTCCGACTGTCCATGAATGCCGGTCCGGTGGAACTCAACTTCTCTCGGACCCAAGCCGGATCTTCGTCGGCAAGGAACTGCTGGATGGCGGGAGGCCGGCTCAACTGCCTTCGAAAACGTGAAAAGGAAACCATGACTGGCAAAATGTGGCACTGGCGAGCACAAAGAGGTCATCCTCAAGGACTACATACGATGGAAGACTTGACTAGGAGTATACCTAGCCAAGAAGGAGGACTGGGAAACATGATTTCGGCAGCCTTCCAGAAGGAGTTTCCGAATTCGGTTGGCGCTATCGAAGGTCCCGGCAACAAGCGACTCTCATCCGACAAACGTGCTCGAAAAAAGCGCTCCTCTGCCACGAGGTGGTCAGCAACTATGTAGCACCTGCCTTATGCTCGTCCTCCAACTCTGAAAACGAAGAGCCGAGGCACACAGGCAGCAGCGAGCGGTTGAAGGTCTGCGGAGATTGAACGAAGTCCAACGGAAAGCCCCGTGGCCAAATGTGACCACAGGTGGGCCTCCAAAGAGGGGTTCTGAAGCTTGGACATGCTTGGAACTACTCGACGTGACGTTGCAGGTTTGCCTGCGATTCTGAGCTGTGGACACCAAAAACTAAGCTCCTTGAGTGGAAATGGTACTTCCTAGCTCTGCTTTAGGATGAAGCGCAAGGTGCCGGCAGCGTGAGTCTCAGAGAAGTATGCAAGAAATTTCGAGCTCGACCCAGAAACATAGATTTCGGAAAGTGCGCGGGTACATGACAGCAAAAGTTGTCTGCCGAACCAGGAAGCTCGGAAACCATGTGTCAAAGACCCGGCCTGAAGCTGGGATACGGGTTGAGCAAGCCGGGCTGAGAGGTCCTCAGCGAGGGAATAGGCCATTATAGGTACGGGTGGTACTCAGTCTTCGAATCTTCGATCACAAGGTGGATGTAAGACTGGAGGACCATTTTCGAATGAATTCCCAAAAACATCACATCAAAAAATCACCAGCCAGCAGAAAAACAATACACCCTGACATACCCCGACGGTATACACCACCATCGCACTGTTGACAACAAGTTGCAGGCCATGCCCGAGAGTCTCCACATCCGGCCGGGACACGTTGATCGCCAAACCGTCCTAGGCATGCCATCTTCCGAAAAGAGAACGGACCTGCTTAGCCACAAATCACAAAACCATTCCAGGCGATGCTGATCCGCGTCATGTGCGTCAGAGCAGCTTCACGGCCAAGATCATCAAGGCCAAGGATAGGTATCCTTGCCTCCTGCAATCGGGATGCAGTAAGTGAGTTCCAACCGACCCCGAGCTGATCTCTTTGCTAGGTACAGAAGTCTCTCGTCCTTCAGACGATTATCATCATCGGTGTCATAAATGATTTTGGCTCCGTGCCTAGGTCGCAAACGCACGCTCCCAACAATGCAGGCCTGCTTGGCTGCGTGACACACAAACTTGGATCCTGGACTTGCCCAAAGATTTGCAAACAACTGAGCACGGATCGCAATGGCATACAAGAAACCCACCTAAGCACATCATACAGCTCAGCTTATGGCACACTCCACGACATGTCGTTTGTCAACTGTCTTGCTGCAAACCACCACAAGGTAGACTGCACTGCGGTGCCGAGCCCCAACCCCAGGTCACATCACGCAACGGGAAAGAATTCAGGGAATCGAACAAGTCGTAGAAGTCCCACTGAACAAAGCTGAAAGCAAAACCCAGTGCTGCGACATGACAAAAACCCGAAGTACAGATATCCAAACTTTGTGAAAGAAGGTCGCACGAAAGGCACAAAAAATATATATAAAGATCCAGCATTGGATCAAGCAACCACACGGACGAAAGCTGGTGCTCAAACGCGGTTACCACTCCTCTGAATATTTGAATTACAAGTTTATGCAGACCGCAAACAGAAGGTATGACAGCTACTGACGAACGAGTTTGCACAAACACCCAGAACGGACAGTTTCCTTAGCGCCGATGCATCGTAACCCCACGAAGCCGCAACATGTGACTCCATGCACACATGGTGGGTGCTATCGGCTCAAGGACTTTCTGTTTTGCCTGAACAGAACCTGCAAGAATTTGCTAGTTGGATGCGACATCAAGCAATCCCAACTCATTCCAACGAGGAAGGAGACAGCGGTAGAGGCCAGAAATCCAGTCCAACATGGCTCAGAACATACGAGTTTCAAGCCCGAGTCATTTCAAGACCGAGTTCGGATCAGTTCCTATGCGCGTTGCCGTCAAATATGATGATCCCGCGCGAATGCTTCAGCTGCAACAGTAATGGACGAAAACAACGACCACGACAGCAGTCCCAATGGTCCGCAGGCCGGTCTGCACGCACTGAGTATGGTTCTTGTTGCTCGGCCGGATTAAGGGCAACACAGCCTTGCATTTTGGCAGTTGTCCAGCAATCTGCCCCCTCCAAACGGAACAAAATGAGCACGATCAGAATCTGGGAGTTCTCCAGAACTCGCTCACCCCCCTCGCAGTTTTCAGCAAATCTCGGCCGTTCTGTGCTCAGTTGTAATCGCACAAATCAAATTGTCTAGACATGCAAGAATGTTGGGTTGCGCAAGCCATCCTCATGCCGCACGTGCGCTTATGCGACCGACCGAAATCTCCACAAGGGAAATGACCAGAACTTACTTCATCTCTTAGTTGTTCAGCTCCTGACGTTCTTGCGCCCGAAATGTCGCCATGGCAAATGATCCATGATGTGGAAGTGGAGGGCTCGCTGGCCTGATGAGTTCGAACTAGACATATCTTGACAAGAAACGTCACAAGAACCACAACAGAAAAGCCGTCATCCGCAAACCGTCTTCCAGTGACGATCATTCTACCGCTCAGCCATGCACGTTCAACCGTGAGGTAGATGACACCTGGGTCAAAACAACGACAGCAAACTGCGGCTTGGGACGCATCGGCATACACACAGCGCGGTACATGACATACCGCACAATGGGTTTGAATGTCTATCCCGTGTGCCAGCCTTCCACGTCGTCATAGTCTTTAGGGCCATTCTTATCTGCGACGACGACATAACACCAGCCTCCATGAACTTTGAGCGTGTTACAATAACCCGTCTACATGCAGTTGCAGAACCTCACGTTCAGCAACATGTGATATGCAGCTCCTCTTTTGTGCCCTGCGCCCGGGAAAGTGTTGCCTTGCTTCGTCAACTCGCCCAGCTTCCTGACTAGACGCGCAAGCCAGCGCGACATGCATGTTGGACAGGGTTGTGCATTAAGCATGGGAGGTCATAACGACTCCGACACTAGCACGGGACTCTACGCTGGATACTTGCGCCCAAAAAGTCCCGATCCTGGTCGCGGGAGACGGCTGGAAAATGGATGTGACAACTATCCATCGGTCGCACGTCTTCTCATCACGCAATGCCTGCGGCGAAATTGGACTCCAGGTGGTTCATGGCAATCGTACAGCAACCTGCCTTCAGATCACTCCGGCGAATCCCTGCAAAGCCTTGGTTGACTTTCATAGAGCTATGAAACAAACCCATCCAGCAGAACTGCAGGTGTGCATCAATCGAATGGCACCAACATATTACACTGTTACACAACATTGTCGGCAAATTGCGGACATCTGCAGAGGAATTATGTGCTGCAGGAATAAAAGAAATCATGGTTGGTGTACTCGGCAACAGCTGCAGCTTCGCCGCGCAGCTCCTCACGCGGCAACTCGCGGAAGGCCTAGACAAACGGTGGGTTCGTTCGGGATGGTCGGAACCTTCAACCAAACGCGGCTGGAATGCACCCCAGGTCAAAGCGTATGCTAGCGCCTCTCCAGAAAACCGTTGCCCGGACACGCCGGCAGTTGTGCTTGGTGCAAGGGCCTGCACATCAAGTTCAAAGCATGACGGCACATGGGCAGCCAAACCAATCAAACCACGCACCTCTGGATGTGCGCTTGCCGAATGCCAACAAACCAGACTCAAGAGTCTGAAGCGCCAGCGCAGATACATGAAATTCCATAGAAAAAGAATTACCGAAGCCTGTGCGCTACAAACCAACATCTGGAGTACATGGTCACATGGTGTGCATCGAACCGTGCAAAAAAACCCTTGCAAGAAAAATCGTGTCAATGCTGCATGTTTCGCAACCTCGGAACCACAAAGCACAGGCACACATGTCCGACGCCGGAAGAGCCTAATCACTTGCTATACCCTATTGCTAGCCCGGACGTGGGCCCGCTGTGCCGCAGAGCGTGGTTTTTTTTTTTTGTGCCTCCACCATTATCCGTTGCCTGCGTTTGGACGACTTCTACCTCGTCACCACTCCGGCTCGCGCCCGTCGAGCTGCACGCGGGTGTCGCAGTTAACCTCGGCAAGAGTCGAGTCTATCGTGCGGGCAGCGGGCCGCCACCGCCAGGCGTCGAAAAGTTGGGACGACCCGGATCTGGTGCGGAGGTGACAGTGAGCCGGCGACTCGCGGCTTCGTTGCTCTGGACGTGCCGATCGGGCATGCGGAGTTCGTGCAACGCACTCTTGCTGCTATTTTTTTTTCTTTTAAAGAGCGCCGCCTGCTGCGAGAACTGCAAGAGCTGCCGGATATGCAGAGCGCATGGTTGCTTTTGCTGTACTGTGCCAAGGCGCCGTTGCCCGCGCGGGGTGGGATCGCAGATGGTGGGGACAGCTGGGCTGCGCTTTGCAGCACGCCTTGGCGACCGTGTCATAGGCGCTCCCGCCGTCGAGCGATACGATGGTGGCAGCGGCATCAAGGTCGCTCGCTGCGCGCAGCATCGCTGCCAAGCAGTCCGTCCCCGCCGCATACTGGCGCGCCAAAGTTCGCGAGACCAATCGGCGCAGTGTGTCTCCAGCGCCTGCACCCAACAACGGCGTCGTGACTGCGCAGCCCGACTGCCGTTGACAATGCTGCGAGACGCAAACGGCGGCAGGCGTACCTGACCCCGACCATGGCCGTCGCTGTCGCCTCGTAGTCTGCGGGCTCGATGTTAGCGGCGCTCAGCTGAGGGGAACGCCACCTTCATCATCTTCATCCGCCTCCTCGCCAACGCTCCAGCAGCTGCCAGCAGCTCCGCGTGTGAACCGCTAAAGTGGCCTCATCTTCGCGCGATCACTGCCATCTTGCTCGAGCTGCCCCTCCAATCGGAGCTCGGTGATGCTGACCGGCCCCCAACCTTGTTGCTTTTTGTTTGCACGCACCCTTTCGCAATTGCAAGTTCCAACAAAGGTCCAAGTCGGGGCGGCCTACGGTGGGCAAAAAGGCCAGCGAGCATCTGCAAGAAGCTCCGAAGGGGAGGGGCTGTTTTTCGGAGCCCTCCCCGTTTTGCTGACCACCCAGGGCCCACCTGCCTCGAGGACAGCGTCGGTCGAGCTTGGGCACGTTTGGCGGCGTTTTCGCTTCGCTGCGTTGCGGACAGCCTAAACCGGGTAGTTGTCTGCTCCATCCTGCGGGCGCGCATCTCGGATCACCGGGCTAAAGTTCTCTCGAGGGTGGCGTCAAGGGCAAGCTGCACCATGTGCAGCGACGGTTGTGTTGCTGCAAGGAAAAAGGCAGCCGAGCGGCTCCTTCCTCGCTCAAGGCTGTGAGCAGGCGCTCCGCTGTTGAGGTGACTCGAACGGCAAAGTGTCCATCCAAGAAACCCAGTAGGTGCGCGACGGTCAGCTTCGACCCCATACACGCCAAGTCCGCCAAACCGCAGCGCGGCAAGGCCCAGGAGCTGAGGATCAATAGCCAACGGAAGCGTCATGCAAGAAGGCCCAGGCTGCTGTCGTGGCTGGGGCCAGGGAATGCGGAAGGTAGTTGGAACGTGGAGCAGCACAGTATTGCAGCAACAGCCATCTTGGCGTATGTATACTCGTGTGTACAAGCAGGCGGCGGCATAAAATTGAGCATGCAGGCTCGCTAGCATCGCCTCAGACACGTGATCACAGGCACCTATGGCGTCCACGGATAAAATGGTTGCGCCAGGGTCGACTTCAGAGGCAGCTCGCAGAACACGCGGCCGAGCCTTTGTGCTAGCATGACTGCTGCGAAGTTTGGGCGAGTGCCGTTCCCACAAAACCTCGCCTAGAACCAAGGCACGGATGCCACGTCCATCCTGCTTTTGCAGGGCGACGATCCTGCCACTCCGGGGCGCAGCAACAGGCAGGGCCGGTACGGGTACATCGGCTGGCGCAGTGCCGGTGTTGTTTATATCGTCGTCCAAAAGGATGCGAAGGTGCTCGTTGGTGGACGGGCTCCACCAGCACACATGTTGTGAGCCATCTGCTACGCGCAGCCACCGCGGCGAGCCCCCGAACCATCGCAACCCTGACCTCCAGTCCTCTCCTCGATTGCACCCGGAATGCCGTGCTCCCCCAATGCCCACACACGGTTTGATGACGACAGTCCCGGCCCTCGATGTGATCCAAAGTCTGGGCAGGGAGCACGGGAAACCTTCACGCCTGCCTGCTATGCCTTGGTCCGGCACGAAGCCCCAAGGCCAGCTCCACGACCCCACGAAAGCAATCCCTCTCTGGCACAAGATTCAACATCACCAACTCCAGCGCATGCTGCGCATGATGCCTCCATTGCCTGAGGCTTGGCCGTATTGCATGAGCAAAGCGACGAGACGCCTTGGCCACCAACCGGTTTGCGCCTTCGACTCCTCCAAGCTTTGGGAAGTTGGACCGTTCTTCTGCCCCACTGCCGCTCGAGTTGTGGTGCGAGTGCACCTGCCCCCGATTTACGCACCTCGCTTGGGTCGAAGGTTGGCGGCGATTGGCAGCCCGACCAACGTTGGCTGCCACTGGCAGCCCGAGCATGCCATGAACGTATGTTCGGGACGCGCCTTTCTGAACTCTCCCTGCGTCCCGTTCGCTCAGGACCTTTCATCGCTCGCGAATTCAACTTCCCACCCACCAAAATAAGCGCTCAGCTCCGGCGCACCTACACGTGGACTGATGAGCAGGGCGGCTCCTACAGCATTGCACAAACGGGGATGCCCGCCTTGTTTTCGCTCGCTCAACACCCCGCAGGTCGGTCGGAAATAGGTTGGAGGTGGGTAAAAGGTAGGCACCGGAGGAGGTGCAAGGGCAGCTGTGGGACGGGGAGGCCATCTTTGTGAATTTCGACAACGTGTATGTCATCCTTGTGGACTCATGCGCATCGAACTCAACTGTCGCAAAACTCGAGTTCGAAACGCCGCCTGCACACGCCCGATTTTTTTGGCTGGATCTGTCTGGAACAGGCATACGCTGAAGGCAACAACAGCATGCCACCAAGCACATCCAAACCATCCTTTTTCCTTCAGTTGGCGCTGTGACCGGGTCCAGGTCCATTGTGCCAATACCGGCGACAAGAACTACTGGGTACCGTGCCCTGTTTTCGCTGTCAATGTCTGGACACGAATCGATGTCATCCCGACGACTGCATCGAACACATCAAATCCACCATAACGCGGTCAGTGCTGCATTCCCCCGAGATGACGAGGGCGATGCATGCTCACTTTAGGCCGCCGCCAAATTCGTGCTCACGTTGTTTCGATTGCTGAAGCTGGCTGCGGACCATCAACCAGCGAAGGGCTGGTTTTAGGAGTTGCTGCTTGATCGCTGAATGTCGCTGATGTGTTTATTCCCCCGCGTTGTTTCCAAAATCAAAATCGAGCGTATACATGGGCACGGCTGGTTTGATTGCTGTTTACCACGATGCCACTGACCTTTTTTTTGCGCGGTCGCCTACGGAATCTTCCGGCGTCGAGGCAACAGCTGAAAACCTACTGGCGGAAAGGGTTGCAAAGAACTGGAACGTTGCCGGCCAGCGGCGCTTTTTATGGCACGGCTGCGGCAACCAACACCTTGCAGGTTTGCAAAGTTCGTTGAAGTGCGGTGTTGTTCAAACGACAATAACGAAAAAAATCTGTGTTGTCAGTTGCAACAGCCAAGCTTCCGTGACACATCGAATTCCTCTTCCACTTCCACTGATTAGCTTTTCTTGCTTTGCTTTTTTCGGAACAACTTTTCGAACAGCCTTAACAAGGAAACCGTCGAAACATTCTCTCGAAGATACTGGAGGCAAAAGACAAGGAAGCAGCACCAGCCGCCTTGCACCATGTTTGTTTGGCGTGGTCAGGCCTCGTCGACGGCGGCTGCCGCACTCGGTCCTAAGGGTCCTAAGGAAATCGACAATAAGCA